CAATGACATGAGACAAAGTATATGTGAACTGTTGTATGGAAAGTGAATTTTCTCTGTAAATCTTCACCCAAATCACAATAAAAAAAATAATAAATTAAACAAACAAACAAAAACACTATTTTAAATGAAGGAAAGAACAACTAGAAAGAAATTCAACAAAGATATAAAAGATCTATCTGAATAATACAATCAACCAACTTGACCTCTAAGACATATATAGAACGATCCACCCAACAGCAGCACAATATACATTCTTTTCCAATGTATACAATCATTCTTCAGAACAGATGGTATTTTAGGCCACAAAACAAGCCTCAATAAATTGTACAATGAAATAATATGAGGCATCTTCTCTGAACACAAAGCTATAAAAGTTGAAATCAAAGACAGGAAGAACAAGAGAAAAGAAAGTCTAATATATGGAACCTGAGTAACACACTAAGAACCAATGGGAAATGGCAAGAAAGATGGATGAATGGAAACAGGGAACCCAGGGAAGAGGAAATGGGAAGGGTGCTTTTATGGGCTTGCAACTAGTATCAGGAAACAAAGTGTATGTAGTTATTGAATGGAAAACTAATTTGCTCTGTAAACATTCACCCAAACCACAATGAAATGTTAAAAAATAAAACAAAACAAAACAAACCAATGGTTAATAGATGAACTTTAAAAAATTTCCAGAATCAAAGAATGAAAACACTCCAAAAACTGTGAGACACACCAAAAGGGAAAAAAGATTCTCAATGACATGGATCGGCACAGTGGCTGTTATGATGGGCTCAAGCATAGCAACGACTGTGAGGATGGCTCAGGACTGGGCAGTGTTTCGTTCTGTAGTACTTAGGGTCACTATGATTCAGAACCAGCTTGACAACACCTAAAAATGACAACATATCTGCTTGGCTTTATTTTCTATGGAGTAGACCTGTATTTATTAGATTCTTAAAAGAGTTCCATCTCAGTCAAAAGAAAAGCAATTTCAAGTATCTAGAAATACAGGTAAGGCGTAAGGCATCCAGATAGTATAGTGGTTAAGTGCTCAGTTGCTAAATGAAACGTCAGCAGTTTGAACCCACCAGAAACTCTGCAGGAGAAATAGGTGGCAATCTGTTTCCATAAAGATTACAGCCTAGGAAACCTTAAGGGCCAGTTCTATTCTGTCCTATAGCATTGTCCCTATGAGTCAGAATCAACACAACTACAACAGACAAAAATACAGGTTCATATCAAAGTAATAAGACTGAATTAGTCACATAAATAAATTAGTTACATTACTTTATGTTGTTGTTGTTGTTACATACCGTCGAGTCGGCCCTGACTCATAGCGACCTCTCCTTGGGTTTCCAAGGCAGTATCACTACGGAAGTAGATTGTTCAATATTCCTTCCAAGGAGTGGCTGATAGGTTTGAACTGCCAGACTTCTGGTTAGCAGTAAAGTGCCTTAGGCACTACGCTACCAGAGCTCCTCACATTACTTTATAGTCAACAAGTAAAACAGATTTTGAATAAATTAAGGGGTTAATGGTAAACCTAATTTGAGTGATGTCAGGGAATCATTCAACCATTTGAAAAATATTTATTGATTACTATATTAAATCTCTAATCCTAGCTGCTCTGGGGAATATCAAGAAAAGTAAATATGGTCTCTAGGTCCACCAGGAACTTGCTACTGCTACTTGCTATTGCTTATGAAATTTTTACATTTCATAAGCAATAACCATCCTTATTATTTCAGAGTAGAATTACTTATTATTACTTTTTCTAAATTATCATTTTACTTTAAAATGAAGAAGGTATCTTAAAAATGTCTCTTAAAGGGGGTAGAGGAAAAGCAAATCTTGAATTTGTAACTTTACTGAAACAATGCTGTCATTAATTTTAAAACCCAAAATTCTAAATTCCATTACCTTTTCTCTTGATCACCCATGTTTTTCCGGTCTGCATAGATTTCTGCATAAAGCAATGCTGTGAAGTGAGCAGCACAAGACTGAGCTACTTTGGCAACCTCCAGATAATTCAAATCCAGCCAGAAAGCATCATCAAAAACTGTTCCTGAAGAAGGTCTAAAAAAATATAAACATAGTATCAGGTCCATTTCTTTAAATTTCTTATCTAAAGAAAAACTCACTATTGCTAGTTAAGGAGAAAATTACATTTAAGTAAGTGAAAATCAGATTTCCCTAAAATACAGTTATATGCAATGCTCGTTATTCTCTGATATTATATTTGCAAATTCACCTATTCACTAAAATTTGTTACAATCTTGGCACTTCCACAGTCACTTTTGGATATATGCAGAGTGGTAAAAAATCTGAGTTGCTCAATGTGCACATTGCCATCTAAGATAGAATCAGATGATGCTCTGCCTTGTTTCAGCTCTCAAACTGTGAACAAATACCTTTGAATGATCTATTTAGTGCCACATTTTTCACAGTCGTGTCCTTTGCTAGTGATTTCCTTTTTAAAGTGGCTCCCAAGCATACTGCAAGGAGTCCTGGTAGTATAATGATTAAGTGCTGATGGTGTAATGGTTTGCTAACCTAAAAGTAAATGGTTTGAACCACCAGCCTCTCCACAGAAGAAGATCTGGCAATCTGTTCTTGAAAAGATTTCACCCTAGGAAATCTTACAGGGCATTTCTACTCTGTCCTGTAGGGTCTTGATGAGTTGGAACTGACTTCACAATAACAAGAAGGATAACTTGTGAAGTGCTGTGTAATGTACCTAAGCATAAGAAAGCTGTGATGTGCCTAAGGGAGAACATGTGTGTGTTAGACAAGCGTCATTCAGGCATAAATAATAGTGTTGTTGGTCATATTAATGAACAACACACTAAGCTTCTAACTATCAAACTTGGACCTGAACTCAGTTCCTTACCCTTTTCTCTAGTGCCAGTCATACTTTCTTAAGAAATCCTTTTTAAGATCTTATTTAAAATTGAGTATTATCTCCAAATATTGATAATGTCAACACTTTTCTATTCCAGTGATAAATCTGAAATGAATTTGAAACTAACTCAAGATAGATCAAAGACCTAAATATAAAACCTAAAACTATAATAGAGGGAGTGAAACTGCCTCTCAACATCAATAAAATAGATCCAGCTTTAGTTACAATTTCTTAATGGACTTTGTCAGAAGAGGATCTGGTACAATACAATAAAGTAAATCATTAACTTTCTAACCAGAAACAAAGACACTGAGAGGTATGAGGGGGATACAGAAGAAATAATTTTTTAAGATATTAATGCATTTAAATTAAAATGCATTTTCATTTTTCACATCTCTCACTTCCATTCTCTACCAAACTGCCACCAAAGAGGCTGTAAGATTTGGCAAAGATAATGCTGTTACTAATACAGCTGTGACTAAAAGTCAGAGTTCCTGACACCGATTTAACCAAACTGCTACCCTGAACTATATTAAAAGGAGATATAATCATCACACAAATTAAATATAGCACTTTTCAGCAGCTTCATCTAAAATAACAATTAAAGTTCAGTCAACAGTAACAAGCTGCACTTCTAAACCCTCAAACTTGAGAAGTCACACTCATTACATTACCTCTTTTGTCTTCTCAGGTAGTCCACAACAGCAAGCATTGTTCGTTGTGATTTTTTATCCAAACAGCCTCGAGAAAAGTATTCTGACTCTGATAAACAAAGGTATCTCCTGTCAGTCCCAGACAGACTTACTTAAGGACTTTCCTTCTTCTGTTTATGTGGCTGTCTGTCTCTACACTGTAAGGTTTTGGTTGGTAGTACCTAGCACAAAATCACTTCTGAATGAACACAAATTGATAAATGCATTAAATGGCAATATTTTTTCTTTTGAAAGAAAGTATTTTGCTTAATAAAGCTCAGAATTTACATTGTGATTTATACTTTATTTCTAAAGGGAGAATAATTTGATTCAACAAACATTTATTTATAATCTTTTATTGTTGCCAGGTGCTCAGTATACAAACATGACTAACAGATTATTTCTAACCACACAGAACTCACTGACTACTCTGGGAAACTCTAAATAGTGCAAAAAGTGCTAGGATAGGGGATGTTTAGAATGCTATAAATGCATACAGTAGAAAACCTAATCTGAGCAATAAAAATTTCACAGAAACAAAAGGTATCTGAAGAAAGAGTAATGGTTAATCTGGAGAAGAGGAAAAGATAGTATTGCAGGTAGTATAGTACAGTATCTGAAATGACTGAAGGCAAGAAAGAAATCGGAAAATGAACTGAAACAATTTCAGCTGTGCTATGCCATGGACCCAGAAAGTAGTAAAGATGTTGGGGACAGAGACAAATAAGACGAACAACAGTTATGTTCATCAGAACTGGCAGGATTTGGTAATCAGATGAGGTATGTGAGTGAGAAAAAGTCAAGGACAGTGTCTGGGTTTCTGCCTTAGGCAACTGAGTGTCATTCAAAGAAAACGAGAGAAGCAGGTTGGGGAAGGGGATAAAAATGGTAAGTTTACTTTTGGACAACTGAGTCTGAGATGCACATGGAACATTTAACAGAAGGCAGTGAGACTTACAGACATCAGAAAAGATTTAATATACTATTAGATCTGAAAAGGCATCTACATTTATGTTCCTTTCTAATAAGAATTTTGTATGTGAAGTAAAACTTCATTTATGGTAATAAAAATACTGGCACTCTATAAAGACAGTAAATGAAAGTGGCTGATTTTATCTCTTGATGGTTGTGGCATAAATACATATGTACAAATGATAAACATGAAAAAAGTCTCAGCCATATTAATGATGATGATAAATTGTAAGATTATTATAGGCAGTTATTATATTAAATACAGTATACAATAAAATTTATATAGTAGTTTAAATGCTTAAGGGTAAATATGAATTTCTTTTATCTGTATTTTTCAAATAGAGAACAGTAAATATATTCTAGGCAGTTTGCAAAACCCTATGAGAATTTTTACTTTAGGGTTTTTATTTCAATGGCCTAGAGAAAATTTATATAAGCAAATTCAAATTATGTTGAAGTGACTGGAACTATATAGTCAGGTTAGAAGGAGCAATTTAGTTCCAGTATAATGTCATCATAACACATTAAATCAATACTTTTATTAGAGTTATATTAGTCTTGAAGTACAAGAAGTAAATCTGTACCTACTCATATTGATACATGAAATACATTAATAATATACATGAAAGATAAGTAAACAGTGGAGATTGGTGAAATTTTTCCTTTTCTTAATTTAGGTTTGAAACTGACTCATACTAAGCCCTCAATTAAGCACCTATATGTACCCAATTCCTAGTGAGAATTCTCCTGCCATTAAATTCTTGTTATGTGAAATAGTCATTATACAGCACAGAAAAAAGGTAGGTATTAAGAGTAGGTAAAGTATAATTAAATATTTATTTCAAAAAATTGGTAGGATATAGGCTATCAACCACAGTTATCTGAGATCATAGGATTATAGGTAATTTTTTTAAAATGTGTACTAATTTTTCATAATAAATAAGAATAATTTATAGGTTGCTTTTTAAAAATGAATTTAGGCATATATACAAAACCAAACAGATACAAAAGACCTATGAAAAAAAACTAAAACAAAAACAAAAAGCTACAAAGCACTATAACAAGAAAGTAAAAGAGAATTACATAAATGGAAGAACATACCATGTTCATGGATAGGAAGACTTAACATTGTGAAAATGTCAATACTACCCCAAGTGATGTACAGTGGTAATACAATCCCAATCCAAATTCCACCATCATTCTTTAAAGAGATGGAAAAACTAATCACCATCTTTCTATGGAGTGGAAAGAGATCCAAGGTAAGTAAAGCATTACTAAAGAAAAACAACAAATGAGGAGACCTCACACTTTCCCATCAGACACTGTAGTCAAAACAACCTGCTACTGAGAAAATGACAGACAGACAGACACAAAGACCAATGGAACAGAATTGAGAAGCCAGAAGTAAATCCGTCCGCGTATGGACAGTTAATCTTTGACAAAGGGCCTAAACCCATTAAATGAAGAAGAGATTATTTCTTTAACAAATGGTGCTGGCAAAACTGGGTATCTATTTGTAGAAAAATGAAACATGATCCCTATCTATCTCATATCATATAAAAAAACTAACTCAAGAAGGATTAAAGACTTAAATATAAAACCTAATTGATTGCTTACCAAAAGCCTGGTGGTTCAAACCCACCAGCCACTCTTTGGAAGAAAGACTGGGCAATCTACTTTTGTAGAGATACTGCCTTGGAAACCCAAGGAGGGGTCGCTATGCGTCAGAATCAACTCAATGGCAATGAATTTGGTTTTAGAGTTTTTTGCTTAGGGGCATAAATACACTGTCAAACAATGTTGACCGGTTGACTGTTCTAAGGATTGTGTACTTCCCTGACGTTATTGTTCACCTTATAGGTCTGTCTATTGTTCAGTTTATATATCTATCTATGTATTCACCTGTAGATTATTGTTATTATTGTTATTGCAGGGCTGTATGTTTAATAGTATTTTTTATTTTTATTTATGCAGTGTTTCCTTCCCTCTGTATATATATTAAAAAAAAAGAAACCTCACTGCCATTGAGTTGGATCCTACTCTAGTGCCCCCTCCTTGGATTTCCAAGGTGGTATTACTACAGAAGTAGATTGCCCAGTCTTCCTCCTGAGGAGTGGCTAGTGGGTTTGAACCACCAGCTGAAAGTTGAAGACTGGGCAAAGTTGAGCCACAAGGGTGAGTTTATTTCCAGCAGAAGATAACCTAGAGAACTGGGAACTTCTAAAAATTAAATATGTATGTGCATCAAAAGAGTTCACTGAAAGAGTAAAAAGAATTAACAGACTAGAAACAATTTTGGCAATGATATATTAGACAAAGGACTAATCTCTAAAATTATTTTTAAAAAACCCCAAAAAACCCTAACACTTCAATAATAAAAAGTCAAACAATTCAATTAAAAAAATGGGCAAAGGATATGTACACACTTCACCAAGGAAGACATTCAGGTGGCCAACCAATGTATGAAGAAATGCTTGAGATCATTAGCCATTAAAGAGTTGCAAATCAAAACAATGAGATATCATATCATCTCACCCACATCAATAGCAAAGTTCAGAAAAAGAGAAAACAAATGCTGGCAAGGGTGTGGAAAGACTGAAACCCTCATACACTGCTGGTGGGACTATAAAATTGTACAAGCACTGCAGAAAACGGATGGAATGTCCTTAAAAAGTTGGAAATGGAAATATCATACACATACACATAATCTAATTATTAGGTGTACGTCCTACAGATATAAGAGCCATGACATGAATAGATATATGCATAATTATGTTCATCATAGCAATAGTCACATTAGCAAAAAGATGAAAACAACCAAAGTTCAGATCAATGGATGAATGGATAAACAAACAACGGTACATAGACACAATGGAATACTACGCAATGTTAAAGAACAATGATGAATCTGCAAAACAAAACACAGATAAACCTAGAGGGCATTATATTGAGTGAAATTAGTCAATCACAAAGGACAAATATTATATGAGACCACCATTAAGAAAAGGTTTTCACACACAAAGAAACATTCCTTGAAGGTTATCAGGGATGGGAGGCAAAGACAGGGTAAATCACTAATTAGAGGACAGATACATATAAACTTGGATAAAGTGGAAGGCAATATACACTAAGAGGAAGGTCAGCACAAAAAATCAAGGCAAAAGAAGACACTGGGAAGAACACAAGAGTTAAAGGCAACAAAAGTAACCAGAAGGCTGGCCGTTCAAACCCACTAGCCACTCCTCAGAAGGAAGACTGGGCAATCTACTTCCGTAGTAATATCACCTTGTAAACCCAAAGAGGGGTCACTATGAGTAGGATCTGACTCAATGGCAGTGAGTTTTTTTTTTTTTTTTAATATATATATACAGAGGGGAGGAAACACTGCATAAATAAAAATAAAAAAAAAATACTATTACACATACAGCCCTGCAATAACAGTAATAACAGTAATCTACAGGTGGATACATAGATAGATACATAAGCTAAACTGGTATGGAAGGCAAATGAGACTACCCATGAGGTTTGCCAGAGGACATTTCGACATATGTATTTATATGGGCTGCAAATATATCCAAGTATATATAGTGGAGTGTACGGGGTGCTAAGTTATGAAAACATTTTAGCCACAACCAAATACCTAGAGGGAATGAACTGCTGGGACATCAAGGTCAACTAGCATAACACAGCCCACAAAGACAATATGCTATATCCTATTTTGGTGATAGCAATTGGGGTTTTAAAACCTTGTGAGTGGCCATCTAAGATATTAACTATTGTTCTCTCCTCATCTGAAGCAAAGAAGAGTGAAGAAAATCAAAGACTCATAGAAACAATTAGTCCAAAGGACTAATGGACCATGCAAACCCCAGCCTCCATGACAATGAGAACAGAAGAACTAGATGGTGACCAGCTACCACTACTGACCGCTCTGAAATGGATCACAATAGAAGGTCCAGGATAGAGTGGGAGAAAAATGTGAAACAAAATTCAAAATAATAAAATACACTTGACTTATTGGTCTGATAAAGACTGGTAGAATCCTAAGACTATGACCCTTAAATATCCTTCAGGCCTGGAACTGAACTCGCTCTCATGGCTCAACTTTCAAACAGCAGACAGGCCTATAAAGTGAACAGTAACACCAGGGAGGTATGTACTCCATAGGACAATCAACTATGCGAGATTAAAAGGAAAGCATTTGCCCAGGGATAAAGCTCAAAAGACAGGAAAACAGTAAACACAGGCAGGCAGCAGAAGAGAGCTGTTACAGTGACGGAATCGCAATCAATGTCATGAAACAAAATGTGTATAAATTACTGCATGGGAAACCAATTAGTTCTGTAAACTTTCACCCAAATTACAATAAAATGTTTAAAAAAATAAAATAAAAACAAGTTGGCCAGATCTCAGAAAATATGAAAATCCCATTACATAGTACCTTTAATATTTAATTGCATATATTTATTTGTGTGCGTTTGCCATTGCTAGAATGTAGGTTCAAGCCTTTCACGGACTGTCTTGTTCATGTCACCAATGTCTGATGCAAGACTGAATGCTCAGTTAGTTGCCTCATTATTAACAGCCAAAATTTACTAAGTTAATACTCAGTATATCCGGTATCATCCTAACCAGATAATACCAATTATCTGGCAATTGGATAATACTCTGGCAATTTGGCTTACAAACATTATTTCACTGAAAACTTCCAACAACTTTTATTATCTCACTTCTATGTGGAAAAAGAAACTGAAATTATGGAATTAGACCTGTAAATCATCTTTAATGGGATTTAAACTGAAATCTATCTTTGTCTAGAACTGAGAAGTTAACAGAATAAATGTTAGAAATCTAACAAACTATGGAAATACCTGAATCCAAATTTGCAGGGGTTGTAGATCGGCTAGTTTGTGAGGAATGTCTGAAGCAGTTAGTGAAAAATCCCTGAATATGTGTAGAAAGCAGGTTTCTCCATGATTCATTTGTATCTTGCAGCAAAATATCATGAATCAAGTATGGAAGCACAGTCTGACAAAAGTCAGTTTTCACCTAAAACATGCGAACACATTCAGGCAATAGTTTGAGTAAAAACAACATATTTAAATTTCCACTCCCTGGTACTGACATATTTAATTTTTTAATATAGCAAAAGAATCTACTATGACCCCTAGCTGCCCTTCAGGTCTGGAATGGAACCCACGCCTGTGGCCTCCAACCAAACAAAAGAGGGGCATATGAGTTGAACATTTACCTGAGGTAGATACACTCCTTGGGGAGAACAATCATGGAAGAAAAGGGGGCTGCTTGTGCATATGGAGGCAGCTTGGGGGGCAGGAGTGCATGGAGAGATGGACACAGGGAGGAGGTGGCTATTGGGAGGAAGTGGGAGGGGAGCTGTTGCAGTGTGGTAAATTGTGGTCAATGTCATGAGACAAAGTGTATATGAACTGCTGTATGCAAAGTGAATTTGCTCTGTAAATTTTCACCCAAATCACAATTACTAATAAAAAAAAAAATCTACCATGAACTCAATGAAGTGCTAAAAAACAAACAAATAAACATGTGTACCAAGTAAAGTAACATCACCACTATAAACTATTTCAACTGTTTTTGAGTTGAAAAGTATTGTTAACAGTATAAGCAGTTTTCTGATTTGTTATAAGATTTAAGAGAAAAAATGAACTTTTGATTTTTGCACATTTTCTATATTCACTGAGGAACTACAACAGTCATGTTAAATTTTTTTTTTCTTTTCAAAATCAATTTCTGTGCATAAAATTTGGATAATTATTTATGGTATGCCCCAAACTGTAGAAAAGTGCTTTAATATGTATCATACATTACAACAGTCCTCAACCTTATTTTGGCTGAGACACCATCTTCATATGTTCATCACACACCGTACACTTAAGACACACTGTAGATTATCAATTGCATACGTTTTATTTTTTAAACCTAAAGACATATCAGAAAGTCATTTTTGGAACTACAGAATATCAGGTACTAGGTCTGCAGTACATATGTATGTTTATTATTTGGAATACTTTATCTTTTGGTCAAAGTCAAAACTTTATAAAATTCTTAGGTTGGTTCACTACTAAGAAATGAATTCTGCCTCCAGGCTATCACTCTCCTGACTTGGTACTGACAGAATGTGATGAGTTAGGCACTGTTACTCCTTTACTATAGAAAACAAGGGCTACTTTTTTAAAAACTGCTCTTAATGTATGTCCTTTACCAAAATACTCATGTATATTAGTTTTTGTAAGTGACAGATGTTTGACCTTGTTAGACACTGTTTTCACATTTCTGTTGAATTATGTTTGACATTACTATAAATTAGGTTAACTTCATTAAGTCTTAAAGCATCATTACATTGTGCTCTTTTGATGACATTTGTTAAAAGCATATAAACTCCCTGTTTGGTATAGTTAAGTATCTTTACTTTGCACTGAAATAAACTGTACTTGTACCTTTAAAAATAACTCATCCAGTATGTTGCTACTCCAAAGCTGAAACCTACTGCATAAAATTGAGGCTAGACAAAGATACCATTTGAGGAATTCACAACAGCTGAATATGGGTGGTGATGCATCAAGATGATGCGCAGTACTACAGCACTCTTTTTAGATGTATAGGCCACAAACAAATATACAGTAGCAGAATGGATGGGGAAAACAAATAAAACTATTTAAAGAAAGCTGAAAAGAAAAAAGCAAAAGTAGAAAGGAACTAAGCCAGATTTATTCTTAACCTTCTTACTTCGCACATTGGCTTTAATAATTGAAGAACTTCACTTTTTATGCCTCCACTATCCAAAAAGGCACATGTCAGTGTTTTTATCCAAACATCATGATTTTCACTTTGAGGAATCCACAAAGTTGTATTATCTAGGTCTTCTAAAGGATTTTCGTTGTCAAGTCTGCATACTTCTAAAAACTAGAAAGTGATCAGAAAATGTAAGTAAGAACGTTAGAAATACATTTTATTTCTCCTATACAAAATTATTATTGAGAGATAAGCTAACCTACTCTCAAAGAAAACGAAATACAATTAAAACTAAATTTTGAGGGAATAGTTACATTTAAAAAAAATATACATTTTTGTTTATATGAGAGGCAGACTGATATGGTAAAAAACAACGCAGTGGCAAACTTAGGTGCTACTCTCAGTTCTCCACTCATTAGTAGCATAGGAAACAAATCATCAACTCTGCTTCACCTGTCTCATTTCTAAAACGAGTCCAAATCTACCACACAGAACTAATTTCAGGGTGAAATAAGATTTTAAAATGTTAAAACTCTAATGCTTTATAGGTTACATACTAGTTTTAGTAATAATTTATATTATTAGCAGTTTCATTAAGATAAAAATTATATTTATGATACATTAAAAGCACTACTTCAATGATGGGCATATGTCCTGAAATTAAATTGGTGAAAAGTCAGCTGCAGACTTTTCAGTAACTTTATATAAAGAAAATATTAAAGAGGAATGCTTAGACTAAAGGAGAAGCAAGAGTATTTAAACACCATTCAGAGTACCTTCAATGGAACTTCATTAAAATCTGAAAAATGGGACAGAAAATCTGCAGGTCATCATCTTACATTTCACTGGAGGATTGTGATACATTAACTTACTATGGAAATAAAAACTTGCTTGACAACAAAACCTATAACCAGACCCAGGATCAATGGATTTCATGAGATCAAAGGAAGGGTTTTCCTATTCCTAAGAAAAAAGGCTAGAAGCATGTCACTAAGAACCCATCTGTCCACTCAAATCAATCATCACTCCTCTCCAGGTTACCTATCTCAGCTTTTCCACACTGCCATAACTGAAAATCATGAACCACTTAGATTTAAGTACAGTTTGGATTATTCTAAGATACAGTTAAATGTTACTATATAGGATTTTAAACCATTTGCTATTCATAGTCCACAGTGAATAGAACTGTTGTGGATATAGTGGCCATTCAATAAACATTTACTACTTGAGAGACCTTTTTTCTCGATGTTCTAAAAGGCTGTAGATAGGCGAGCATGGGATCAGTAGTTGTTTTATAAATCTCCCAGAAACTATGTCCAGTCTTTGTAGCTAAAATGCTTTTCAAACAGGTAACAGCAGCAGATCGTATTTTGACACTGAAACACACATATTGAAATGCTTATAAATTATATCAGTTATTAATCTTGATAAATGTAAAGCAATCTTCATTGAAAAAAATTTTAAATGAAAATATAAAATTTACAGTAATAGGAAAATTTACATTAAATCCTGTAACATCAAAGTCAAAATTACTAAAGAATTTTTAACATTCCTTCAAGCAATCTGAGTTACTAATAACTTTAAAAGAAATTTCCTTTATTAAACATATTAAGTTTATGACTACAATAAACTGAAAACTCAGAAGAAATATTTGGAAAAAACATAAACATGAATAACCAGAGTTATTCAGATAAAATACTAATAAATCTGAAAACACAGTATTTGGTAATATATTCTCTGCTGATGTACAAATAATTTGGTATGAGGAGAAATGGTATTTCCTCCAAATGAGAAAATTATTGAGAACAATTTTAAACAAACAGTAAGTACACATTTATTTTGACCAGAACCTAGTTGAGAATCAGTAGGTAAGGCATCTAAAATTGCTAACAAAAAACTGCAGGAAATTCTCTTCTGCTAAAAAAAAAAAAAAAAGTAGGAAAAGAAGAGCTGCAATACAGAGCACTAGAAATATGACAGCTGACAAAAAAAAGTCACAAAGCTTCACACTACGAATGATTAAGTAAAAGCTTAATTCCTTTTAGGTTACTCAGTTTAAGACCAAAGTATAAATGCCATGGTATAAAAGCCACTTGGACTCATCCTTAAACCTTCTATTTCCTTCATTCCTTCATACCCAATTCATCATCAAGTCCTGCTGGCACCATGTTTAAAACATATCCTGGTTCCATTCATGTCTCTCATCTCTGCTACCACCACTCTAATCCAAGTCAGTATTATTTCTCCTCTGGACTACTGAAGTAACTTCATAATCAGTATTTTCATGTTTCCATTTTTGCTCATTCAAAATCCATTTACCATATAAAAGTCACAGTAAAAAATATGTTACATCATGTCACTATGCTGCTTAAAATTCCATGATGTCCAATTTTTTTTTTACATAGAGAATAAACAGGCAGTAGAAAACTCTTTTTGACTAGATGAAAGGCTTTTAAGGTTATGAAACATCTGCAATATGGTTTATTTTAAAAGGACTAAAATTAAGGCTAGCCTAGTATAGTGTCATCACATTAGATTTTGGTAAGTGCCTAAAACAGCACCATTTAAATTTCCCTATCTTAATTTTCTGTGTAGAAGTTAACAACATTTGATTTTTATTATTTATTATTTTACTAGTAGTTATTCTCACTAGAATTTAACAGGGGCCTGGTCTACAATGTTCATCACTATATCAAGTATCTGGCACGTAATTTTAAAAATATGTAAGTACTATCATAAAAATAATAATTTAAGTATGAGGACTTAAAGTAGAAAGCTTTAGCTGTTGGAGATATTAATTTATATAAAATAATGTTCTCCCTGGATGTCAGATTAAGCAAGTGCTATCAAATGGTGCTACTGTAAGACAACTGGCTCCTAACCGAAAGGTTGGCAGTTTGAACCCACCAGCTGCTCCACAGGAGAAAGACTAAGGCTTCTGTAAAGATTTACTCCCTTGGAAATTCTATGGGGGTTGCTATAAGTAAGAACTGACTTGATGGCAGAGAGTTTGGTTTTGGTTTTATCAGATGAAAGTTATGATTAAATACTTACCAATCTTCTACCAGTGAATTATTCAGGTGGGTCAGCATTATGAAAATCCACCAAAGTTCTTGATCTTCAAATAACTCAAGGGCCTTACTATATGACGTATCTTTACTATGTTGTATAGCTATGGTAGAGAAATCTATAGGACCCAATTCTCCTAAGCAGCTTCCAACAGCCTCTGTATACAGAAATTCCATTTTAGTAGAATCATAGTTGTAAGATCAAAATACAGATATTTTCTAACTTTAAAAACATTAACACTGCTTTGTCATGCCTCAAGGTTTAAGTATGTTGTCAAAGATTTAGAGTAAAGAATTTAATATGCTTGAGTACTAAATAGTTACAAAATATTGCATCATTTCCTTTATCTATTATTCAAGTGAGCAATAGCTAGTTTCCTCTACAGAATCATATTCAGGAGACAGGTAATAAAATGTAGGTAGTAAAGATCAAAGTCTAAACATGGCCACTATATAAGAGTATCAAGAGACATTAAAGTCATCTAAAAATTTTGAGGTATCACATACATAAAGCCCAAAAGTCTTTAATACATAGCTCCTTGAAGTTTACACATACATACAAATTTTTTTCCACCTGTTATTACCACCTAAATGAAGACAGAACATCTTCAGAATCCAGGAGACTTTCCATGCACTTTTCTAGTTGTGATGGTATTTATTAAAATATGGTCTAGAAATTCTTTGATATTCATCCTTTCAAAAAAAACCACTCACTGCCATCAAGTCATTCCGACTCATAGCAAACCCTCCTTGGGTTTCTGACGTGGTATCTCTACAGAAGTAGATTACCCAAATTTCCTTCTGAGGAGTGTCTAGTGGGTTAGATCTGCCAGCCTTCTGGTTAGCAATGAAATGCCTTAGGGACTATGCCACCAGAGCAATCCTTTCAAATAGCAGAGACTAATTCCTCTTGTCAAGTGTGGGCAATGCTTAGTGATTCTAGTCTAACAAACAGAACATAGTAGAAATGACAACATGTGACTTCCAAAACTAGATTTAAAAAAAGACATTATGGCTTTCTTCTTACCCTTTCTCTTGGATCACCCACTCTAGGGGAAGCCAGCTGCCATGTCATTAAGATACTCAAGCAGCCTTACAGAGGGTCTATGTTATAGGGAACTGATTGATCCCTAAGAACAACAACCAGCATTAACTTGCCAGGGGAGTGAGAAAAGTAGATTCTCCACTCTACTCAAGATTTTAGATAGCTCCTGCAATGTCATGAGAAACCCTAAGCCAGAATCACCCAGGTAAGCTGCTCCTGGATTTCTGACAAACAGAAACTATGTGAGCTAAAAAATGTTACTGTTTGAAGCCACTAAGGGTTTGAGTAATTTGTTACAAAGCAATAGATTATACAATAGGCGATATCAACCCTTCCCCACCCTGCCACCAATAAATACCATTCAGGTTTCTATCATACCAGGGTCAGTAAACTATGGTTTGGTAGCTATATCCTATGTTTGTTTTGTTTGTTATGTGTCGTCGAGTCAGACCCGACTCATAGTGACCCCTCCTTGGGTTTCCGAGGCAGTATCACTACAGAAGTAGATTGCCCCATCTTCCTTCTGAGGAGTGGCTGGTGGGTTTGAACCACCAGCCTTCTGGTTAGCAGTCAAGTGCCTTAGGCACTATGCTACCAGAGCTCCCACTATATCCTATAGTCACCTGTTTTTGTAAATAAAGTTTTATTGAAATATGGCCATACCACATTGGTTTACATATTGTTTATGGCTGCCTTCACACTACAAAGTCAAGATAAATAGTTACAGAAGAGACCATACAGCCCACAAAGCCTAACATATTTATTATCAAACAGAAAATATTTGCTGACCCTGACATACTACATAGCTTTGTCCTGTGTGTTCTTAACTCTGAAAAAAATAGAATCATGTAGCATGTCCTGTTGTGTCTGGCATCTTTTGTTATTTTATGTGAGACATTCATCCATGTTGCTATATGCAGCAGTAGTCTCTATATTTTGCTGCTGTATGTTATTTATTTAATGATTATGCCATAACGTAATTATTCATTCAGCTAGTGACTACCTTCTGAATTTATTTTCAGTTTAGGATTGTTATTAAACTATTATAAAATGAAATGTGTACATGTCTTTTAGTACATAGGTACATGCATTTCTATTAGGCTCCTACTTTCATAGAAGTGAAAATACTGGTTCACAGGACTTAGTATCTCCCATGTTGGAGATCATACTAAAATATTTTTCAAAGTGGTTGTACCAATTTACTCTCCTACCAACAATGTGTGAGTTCCAGTTTCTTCACAGTTTCCCTAATGTGAATACTCAGGGCTTTTAGTCCTTTAAATTTTAGCCATTTTGTGAGTGGTTAATTTATCTCTGGTGGTTTTAAATTATTACCCTTCTTTTTATTTGTTTATATCATATAGATACTCTCTTTTGTGAAGTGCCCATTTAAGTCTTTTGCCCATTTTTAAAATACAGTTGTTTTCTTTTTTTATTAATCTTTAGGAATTCTTTATAATATATATGAGTTCTTTGTTGAGTATATAAATTGAAATACCTTCTTTTAATCTGTATACTGTATTTTTACCCTCTTACTAAAGATTTTACAGAAAAAGAGGCACACATACTAATTTTGAAGGTTAATGTTTGTTCATCCTGTTTAAGAAATTTTAAACTACCCTAAGGTCATGAAGATATTTTAATAGATTTTTCCTTTTTTACTTCTAGAAACTTTGTTTTACCTTCAAATTTGTAATGATCCATTTCAAAGTAATTTTTGTGTGTGGTTTGACATAGACTCAAGTTCTATACAGATAAGAGCACCATTTACTTTAAAAAAGCAGTCCTTTCCCCACTAAATTGCATGGTATTTCTGACATGTCCGATGACCTTCCATTTGGTAATCCATTTCTGAATTTCCCACTTTTTCAATCTGTATGTTTATCCTTGTGCCGATAACATATTATCTTAATTACTCGTTTTTTAGAGTAAGTTTGATATCTCATAGATTAAGAGCTCTAATTTACTCTTCTTCAAAATTGTTTTAACTATTCTGGGTTCTTGTCAACTTTCAAAAATAAACCTGCTGAAATTTTTATGAGGACTGCGTTACGTAAATCAAAAGATCATCATTAATAATTATTCATGGACTCAATGTACATATGTTGACAAACTTAATTTACATGTCTTTAATCAACTTAGTTATCTGATACCCAAAAAATAAAAGGGTCCTATACTTCCACCCATCCTTCAAGTCCCACCTTAGAAATCACTTTACTGGAGAACTCCTCAAAATTGGTTAAATGTCCTCCTGTATGCCCACAAAAGACTCTGTGATTATGCCATGACAGCACTTCCAACTCATATGGAATTGACCTCTAAGGATCATCTGGGCAACAATGTAGGCATAGACACATGACGGCCAGTCAATATGTAACTACATTAGAAAACCTACTGCACTGCTGCTTATATTATAACAATATTTAAAATGACCCTGGCTCATTAAGAAAATATCTAATCTTATTCATTATAGAGTTTTCTACTAAAAAAAGTAAACATTTATAAATTCACTGACATTTCAGTTATGTGGACATTTCATTTAGAAGAAATAACTTCACATCCACAATGCTGTATAAATAAGATATCATTGTACTGATTAATATAGATATACTGATTCATAGTTACAAAATACATATAGTCACACAAAATACATAGAGTTTCACAAATTTTGAGGTAGAATTAGGTATTTATAGCTCTATTTTACTGGGTTCAGAGGAGGAACTTTTAAAAATAACTATTAAATGATGACTGTGGCTTTGAATAAGACTATTCCTTAATTATAAGTCTAATCCAGTGGTTCTCACTCAGGAGCAATTTTGTCTCCCAAGTGGGCATTTGGCACTATCTGGAGAAATTTCTGTTTGTCACAAAAGGGAGGGGGACTACTGGCATCAAATGGGTAGAGGCCAGGAATGCTGCTAATATCCTACAATGCACAGAATAGCACCCCACAACAAAGATTTATCACGCTCAAAACATTAATAGTAACAAATTTGGGAAACCCATGCCTAACTTGAATTCATTTAGTCCAAATTAGTCTGAGGCAAAATACAATGTGTAACATAGAAATGCTTTAAGTCTCATATCACAAACCACTATGATTTTAGGTTACATAGAAAATCCACTTAGGGATCTTGTAGTAAATGAGGTTTGCCTCTAGAAGTAGTGCTATTATGGACAAAGGAGCAAGTTCCCTGGTCAAAAAAGAAAAGAAGCTTTCTGGTAATATTCTGTTTTATGATCTAGGTGTTAGATGCACAAGTGTGTTCGGTCTGTAAAAATTCTTCAACCAGTGTAATTATGATCTTTATACTTTTCTGCATATATAACATAATTCAACAAAAAGTTTACAAAAACCTCCTAGTTCATTGTGTAGTGCCTGGGGTCTTACAAGCTTGTAAGTGGCTATCCAAGGCACAACAACTTATCTCTATTCACCTGGAACAACAGAGGAAGGAGAGTTAGAAACAAGAGGAGGATATGGAACGTGTGGCTAATTCCCTCACGAACAACTGCCTCCTTTGCTACAAGACCAAAAAAACTGGATGATACCCAAATACGATTACTGAACATCTTGATTAAAGATTCCACAGTAGAATCCTGATCAAAAGGGGAGGAATGCAAAATGGAATTTCAAATTCTCATGAATTCTAGATTTTCTGGAGACATGGAGGCTAGGTGAAGCACAGAAACTACTGTCCTGAGATACTCTTTTAGCCTTAAATCAAAAATATCTCTGAAATCCTTCTGGAAACCAAACCAAACTTTAGTTTAACTAGTAAAAAAAAATGGTCTGATTTGAGAATTATGCTGTTTTAAGATCTATACAGTGCCTAAGGCATGACTGCCAACCAGAGGCTGGCGGTTCAAATCCACCGGCTACTCCTCGGAAAAAAGTTTGGGCAATCTACTTCTGTAGAGATACCGCCTTGGAAATCGAAGGAAGGGTCGCTATAAGTTGGATCTGACTCGACGGCATGAGTTTTTTTTTGGTATGGGATCAAAGTGATAATAGCAATTTGGGCCAGTGAGTTTACATTAATGAGTGAGGAACAACTCAGAAAAGGAGGGTGAGAATGGTCGCATAACTCGAAGAGTGTAATCAATGTCACT